ACTAATACTTTTAATCGTGAATTAATTACATGCTCATCGCAGGGAGAACAGCCACAAATGTTCCAATATGCTCGGGTCTGAAATCTTTATTTCTGGGAAATTACAACCCCAGAATGTGTCACCGAACGTGACGCGAAGCAGAGAAGTCGCGTGGACCAGAGCCAGAGTGTCCCTGGATCGGGAAGGAGTTTTTAGATGCAGCGTGCCAGCCAGGTAGCTCTTTTGTTATGTAAAGATCTGCCATGTGATCCGGCAGGATAAAAGAGGAGAGAAAAAGAAACCGTTCAGATAAGCTTCCCCTCATCAGATAATTAAGGATGCCTTTGCTCCAGTTTCCTCTTCTTAGCATTAGTGTCTGATCAACTTTCAAAAGGCTCATCAGTCAGAGTTGCTCCTCGGAGCTCCACTCCAGGGGCTCCAGCAGGTTCCGAGTCCAGCTCCTGGCCCGCGGCTCGCCCCGGAGGACCAAATAAATTAGCTGAAAATCAATGATTCCGATAGATTCAGCCAACAGCAAACAGACAGGATCAATAATCGGTATTGTATTTGTTACGTATTTAAGGGCTTGAGTTTATTTTATGAGCAACTTTTGCAGGGCTGCAACTAATGAATATTTACATATTTAATGAATCTATTGATTTGTTTATGATGAATCATTTCATCTGTGAACTGTCAGAAGATATTGACAAATGGCCGTCACACGGTGACATATTTAGATCACTTGCTTTGTCAAAATAACGCAAAGAAATTCAAGTTACATCGAGGCTACGATTAACGATTATTTAGATTATTTGTTTGATCTCAGAAAGGCCGTAAATTCGTTGAGTCTTCAGATTGCTTTATTCAGACCAATATTCCAAAACTCAAAGATATTCAATTCACAATTATGTAAAACAGAAAAATATCCTTACATTGTAGAAACTGAAACCAGCAAATTGTATTTTTTTGTTAACATTGTCCATTTTTACTGGATAAAAGACTCCAAACCATAAATCTTGATTCATTTCGAGTCAGCTCATCGATTAATCAACTAATCGCTCCATTCAGCGACCCCATGTGCACATCACTTTTTCAGCCACATGCTTCTCCAGCTGCCGGAGAGCACCGGCATCTCACGGGAAGGCTTATTGGCCCGTGTTGTCTCCTCGGATGTCACTGCTTTGCCGCGCCGTTGTGCAAATGAGGCACGCGAACGGGAAAAACAGAATTATGAAATCGTTTCTTAACAACGCGCAGAAGAGGTCAGATTGTCTACAGGCGACAATAAGTGAAATTAATTACTGTTTGTGCTGCCACCTAATTGCAGCCTCTCAATGAACGGATTCCACTTTTCTTTTTTTTCCCCCCATGTTACATTTTCCCACCTCGACACCCCTTTGCTCCCTGTCAAAACTCTTCCTCCACCTGTCACAGTGTCTGAGTATTGTGCACGCACCCCCATCCTACTCCCCCCCTTCTTCCTCCTCTCCGCCCCCCCCCCCTGTCCCTGCCTCCCCTGCTGCCAGTTTTTAACTACACTCCACTCTGGCCTCTGCTCTACTTGTTACAGCCCCAACACGAGTGCAAACAATCAAAGTCTTTGGGAACGCTAAAATATGCATGGCTATCCGTGACAGACAGATAAAGCAGGGCAATTAGCCACGTAATCCTAGAGCATCGTACGGAATAGTCCGCCTCAGCTGTCCCCCCCCTCCCTTTACTCTCTTGGTCTCCATTAGTTAAATGTACTCTGTGTGTCGGCTCCCCATCAAATCAAGTAACACTTCCCCTAATTGGCTTATAAATAATACAGCAGGGCCTGCATTATAATTTCATCAGTGGTAAACATTGCGGGGGCAGTTGGTGAAGAACCTATCCCTCATTAATTTCTTAATTTGGGTAGATGGAACCGAGGGGAAGGGAGGGAATGAAAGGTGGAGAAAAAGAGAGAGAGAGAGAGAGGGAGATCGGATGAACGGAGGGACTCGTATCACCTCAGGCAGAGGGAGAGAGAAAGAGGGAGAGATGGAGGAAATTACAAAACAAACAAGGGGAGGAAGATGCTACCGCTGCTGCTTTTGTTAAGAGATGTCAGATATTCAATCCAGGGGTTTTGTCAGTACTCCTGTGCGATAGGTGTGTGAGGGCCCCGCCGCCCCCAGTTTACACACAAATACACACAATCTCTCTCTCCCCAGTCCCATTGCTTGTTCTTTTTTTATACCGACTTAATGAATATTTCATAACGAGCAAACATAAATATTCATTCTAATGGTTTTGCACATAGTTATTACCGGTATTTCCTCTTTTTTTTAAGCAACAAAAATACTCATTATAAACTCTGCATAACCAGGCCCTGAAATAATTCTCTCACTCTTATTCTCGCACACGGATTATCTAGATCAACTGCTCAAACAGTGTTTCAACAAGAAGTCATGAGAACTATTGTGAAAATCCTCCCAAAAACGTCTGGTGTTTGCTTTAAGGTGTCATTATTTGCATGTGCAAACTCATACGTATCAATAGGAGAGGCACAAAGTTCATTTCTAACTCCAGTCATCGCCTGCAGTCGGAGAAATTGGCAAAGATTCCCCGTGTGATGAAATCCTTTTTGTAAAAGGCAATAGGTCTGTAATCAGCCTTCCTCCCTTTGGCACATAAATGTCACCCAAACCTGCTATTATATTGCATAATGCACTTTTAAGGGAATTTTACATGGCCCGTGATTGATGCTATGAAATATGAGGTGTGAGCATATGACACCCTCTGATCTCTGAAAGACGGATATTAAAGCAAACTCTCAAATGAGCCCATCCCCCCATCCCCACTGTCTCTCCCCGCTGAAATGTAGGAATATAAAAGGCGCAGAGAGCCCTTCAGCCTTCAAACGGAAAGTTAAGCGCTCCACATTGTCGGCGAGATTTTGAAAACGGAGCCACCTGAAGGCAATCTGTCTCCGCTGGAACCTCGACTTGTCACCGTTACAGAGAGCTGTCACTTCACGGTGCCAGCGCTGATGGAGACAGACACCCATCAACCGCCGCGCTTTACCAACACGCACCACCCGACGTCTTGCAGGCCCGCTGAACATTATGTTTCACTTTAGATCAGAACAACACGCTCAGGCACAGCCACCAGTGCCTCTTGTTCTCTTATCCCTGTCGACTTAAAGGGAAAAAAAATATATATATATATAGTTCTATAGCGACGAAGAACTAACTGTCCATCAATCACACTCAGGGCTACATCACACAGGAACTCATTACGCTAAATCTTTTACCCGAGAGACATTACCCAAGCATTATCAGTAAAATGCATTTAAGTATCAAATGTTCTCATTCCTGTCACAGCTTTCAACGACGGGTACATGCTCAGCCACCGATGATGAAAATCCACGACGCTGGAGATCCAACTAGGCAGTGACATGTACTCATTTAGACCGTTCTGGCTTGTGCCCCCTTAAAAACAAAGCTATATGTGGCCCTTCAAACCTTTTTATCTCAGTCGGGACCCCTTATATTTTCATAGCGGTCCCCAGGTCGGGAACCTCTGATTTAGACAAATGGTTCATGTTCGAGTCCTAAACATGAGACGGATGTCATTGATGGTTCACATGATAAGCTGATGAGGAGCAAAATAATGACCCGTGGGCCCCTTCTGACCCCGTCCTTCTGTGCAATGTGATTGTAGTTATTAATAATTTGTTTGTGGTAACTTGATAAAGCTGATATGTATTAATAACATAAAGCCCATACACTAGATTTGACTTACTTGAGGCCACCCATCAGTTTTTATTGTGCTTTATTAGTGGAAACAGAAAACATGTCAATCTTAAGTTCCTCATCACGTTAAATATTCATGACTGAATAAGCAACAATCATCATTTTCTTGTCTGTGGTCTGAACTGATTTGATTGACAGTGTCCTGTGAAAATAAACAAACCAATATAAAAAATAACTGAACTGTGATTGGTGTATGGAGGTGCACCTGAGCTCAGCCCACAGTAAGTGGTTGATTGGGAAAATAAGCTTTCAGGGTCTTCAACTAACAAATGTGCAATTAATTAAATCACCACGTGCTAATTGCCACACGGTAAACCTGGAACCTTCGGGCCCCTTGAGGGTCTGGGGGCCCGGGGACATGTTGCCTGCTTCGCCCGGTTGGTAATCCCGCTCCGCTTGCAGCTTCGCTCAATCCATTTTTTTGGGGAGGATCGACTGACGCGTGATCAAACATCGGGATGCAGGCGCTCGACCTCGTGGCTTTGTTTGCTTGTTTCTGGAACGTTGACATTTCAGAGACTTCCATAGAATCCATTAATCATTGAAGTCATTTACCAAACATCCTCTGGCTCCAGCTTCCCCAGCGCTGCTTTTTGATGGCTGATATCTTTGTAAATAGAACATTTTGGAAACGATTTGAAATTCTCACTTTGGGGTTTGGGAACTTGCGTGGCCATTGTTCACTATTTTTTATACGGTTTTCATTGATAAACCATGAAAGTCATCATTAGTTTGATTCCCTTCTCAAATGTAGTGAGTACAAGTGGAAGTACAAAAGCACAGTACTTGAGTACTCCCGGTGAGGATGTAGCGTTAAACGTCCACGGGATGCGGCCCCTCCACTTAATTACAGCCGAGGAGGGGAGACGGGGAGCATGTTGAGAGTGAGCTTAATTAATGTGGCAGTAAAAAGTGGCCCTCCCTCTCCATGTCCATTCTGCTGTTCAGTATTAGTTCCACCTCAGCGCTCTCAAAGCCGGGAACAAATAGTGACTCTAATGATGGACATGCAACCTCCAGCCCCCCCCTCCCCTCCCCTCCCCTCCCCTCCCGACCCCTCCCGACCCCTCGGCTGGTCTCGGGTCACCGCCCTCCCTCCCTCCGCTCCCCGGGGACGACAGAGCGGAGGAGTCAACCAGTTAGACAAGCATGTTCACCCCGCCGGTTCAGAGAGAGCAGAAGACAACCTTGCATACTGACTTCATTAGCACTGACAAGTTCGGGGGGGGGGGGGTGGAGGAAGTCAGCAGCTGCAGAAGTGCAATGATGCAACTCTGGATTGCCTCTGGTGTTTGCTGTGGTGTATTTCTGGGCCCTAACTTTACAGACAGCCAGGACTACCTGCTTCTTGTCTGGATGCTACAGCGATAGTTACTGTAAAGAAAAGCAAAGTAAGATTTCTGTAAGGGCTGGCCAATAAAGCACATGTGTCTAATTACTAACATGATGAATCAGATATGTATTTTTACTAAAACCCATTATTACATTTATATTTATTAAACAAATTGTTACGATTGATCGGGATATAGATCATAGGTATATATAGGTTATGCTACATAGCCCTGCACCTCTACCGTTTACTGGTACCGTATGCATAAGTGTACCGTAAACACTTTTGTTGATGGTACAAATTGCATAATTGTCAATATGAAGCCTTTTCTTTCACAGACCTAGAATACGTTCAGGAAAAAGACGAGGGTTTCCAGGAAGGAAACTATTGATTTGGTGTCATGTTCTGTCTATTTGTTCTCCTCCAAACGTCAGGATGTCATCACCAGTGAGGCGAGATAAACAGAGTTTTCTTATTCTGGATTTAACATCCTCTAACAATGTACATCACGGAAACTGTGAAATTGGTTTTGCTTAGCTTTTTTAAATGTTTGAACAGAGAAACTGTTAAAGAACTGAACAGAAATGTCTGTTTTGACTAATCCTGCATATTAAATACCTCACAAATCAGAGTATTTCAACACGATGCATAAATACTAATATTCAGCATTGCCATGAAGCAGCGCTGCTCAGTGGTTTACCCACAGAGGCCTGAAACAACTAGAGACATCGACAGAGAGCTAGTAGACATGAACGGCATCGCTGACGTTTGACAAATTTGTCTCGTCTCATGCCGTTTATCTTTCCTCAGAAATGTGACAAAACGTATGAAGAGTCAACAGGAGAGAAGCAGCAGGTGTACGAACACGGTGTCGCGATCCCGCCAGGTGATGCAGTCACATGTCAACGGGGGGGGGGGGGCGGCGGCTGCCACCTCTTACATTGCGAACCGGAATATTCTGAAGCGACAATGAATTGATGGTCTTGAGAGAATACCGGGGGACATATGTTCAAAATCAAATCTAAACAAAAGGAATATCACATGAAATTAAGGTGTGAAAAGGTGCCATGAATGTTTTATGCCACCCCTCCACTGACATAAAGAATATAAATATTGTATGCAAAGAGAAAAATCCCCCGTTTGAAGTGTTGAGAGCAAAGACAGTGGGAGAGGAGAGGGTGGGGAAGCAGGTAATTACGAGTGGAGCTGCTCTTTGACGGATTATTATATTAAAGCGGGAGGAGGATCAACCAAACACAGCTAACCTCTGTAACAGCGCTGGTCTCCACCTATCAGTGACAGGAACATTACAACCTGAGGAGCCACTTCCACTTGACAAACTACAACACAGAGCACCCAATCCCCAGGCTTAGAAAAAAAACCTGGAACCTGGAGGCCGTGAAGGCACCAAACACATCACACCACCTCCAGCCAGAGCCGGTGAACAGCTCAGTACGAGGCTTTCAGGGACTGTAATGTGTAATGTGTAATTTAACTTAACGACTTGGTACCGCTGCTATGGCAGGGTAGGAACTCGGGTCGCTATCCGACAGAGCACCGCTATTCTGACAAGAAGTAGAACGGCATCAACCTCTACGGAGTTTCAGGGTCCCCAGGGGTTAACCCATTGCATAGAGGAGGATTTCAACCACCAACCCTCGTCACTCTGCTCCGAGGAGCAGGTCGAAAAGCACTCAAACATGAGTGGTAGGGGTAAAAATAAGGAATGGGATTGGCCCATTTCCTTTGACCTTCTATTCCTTTGTTTGCTCGTCTGAGACTTATTCTGGTAAAAGATACCGTGGACAGAGAGAATAACTGAACCAAAGAAATATGTTTTTATGTAACAAAATTGCCACGCCTATTTGGTCCAGTTTCTTTTCTTATTTTGGCAGGTTATGGCAACGTTTTTTAGTTTAGGTTGGGAAAGGGAGCAGTCCCACAGACGTGTGTCGCTCGACGTGTAAAAACAAAAGAGCCAAATCTCAAAAGCTTTTTCAAGCGGAGTGCACGGAAAACAATGGTTTTATAATTCGACATGATAAAAATGTAACTCCACTTACAAGCTTTTTATTAGCGTAGAAGCTGAGCATGCTTCACACATCTCCTTCCTGCTGAAGAAGACCATGAGATGTGATTGAAAGCTCTGCAAAAAGCTAGTAAGTGGACCTGGACCAATATATATTTTTTTTCTTGTCAAACTAGTTTCCAAAGTTAAGAACGAACATTCGTGATCAATTGCTTTGTACACGTTTGTTGCGTGTCCTGTAAAAAAAAAAAAAAAAAAAAAGTCCATATGGGCGGTAACTTTTTGCACATCCCAGAGAATCTTTGCACTAAAAGCAGAATTTAGGATCATCCAACGGTTAGCTAGTCAACAACGGGATAACAGTGAGTGGTGTCAGTAAATCATCATTACGCTTAAACAAGCAGCAAATTTACTTAATGGGATATTTTGCTGGTATTGTTTTTACCCTTTCCCCTGCGTGTGCATTCATGGACGCTTTTCACCGCTGCGCTGCTAAAACTAATCATTCCACTAGTGCTGCACAGAATAATGTGATAAATGATTCACTTTCTAGTAAAGCGGGAGACATCCCTTTCTTCCCCAAAAGCAGCGAACCTTCACCGAGTCCTGGGCCAATAAATGACACCACTGGGTAAAGAAATGTGGGCTTAAAAAAAAGAAATAAATAAAAGAAAAGTTCCCCTTTCATGAAGTCCTGTGTGTTTGGAGGCGAGCTGCCTCCTCTCTCCTCGCCCCGGGGCAGGCTATCATCTCCAGTGTCACCAGAGGGGGGGCAGACCCCGGCCCACCTCTGCCGGGCCCTGCTGATGTAAGGGATGAGAGTTGGCGGTGGATCGAGGAGGCTCTGCTGCTGGCCCGGTCTCTCAGGTCTCAGGTCTTTGATCGCCGGCCGCCGACCTCTCAAGTCTCCAGAAGGGGGCCGAGAACATGCTGCCGAGCCTGTAGCCCCTCCCTTCAGCCCTTGTTCCCTCCAAATATGAAAAAAGGGTTAATTGTATTTAACAATATGCTCTCTAACTCCCCCCCTCCCTCCCCATCACTGCCACCCTCCCCTCCTTGATTAGAATTAGAATCACATCTGGCGCCATGTTCTGTCCCTCATTACTGCTGAATCTCATTACGACGCACTCCCGCGGGAGGGACCGCGCCGGCTTTTTAAGCACACTTTCCACTTTCTTCCTGCCTCTTGCTCATCTCATCCACCTCGCCTCTCCATCTCTTCTGCGTTTACATTAGCGGAAGTCCTCATCTGAGGGAATGACTGAGCGCCACCACCACCCACCTCCACCCACAGCTTGGAAATTGTTTTACAGTGCCAATTAAAGTAGGTATGTTGAGCTTTTTCCAGAGTATGTATTATTCAGAGTGTGTTATTTGTTGCGCTCAAAAAGAGAAGGGAGAAAGAAAGAAAAAAGAAAAAGAGCGCCTGACTAAAATAGGACTAGCAGAGTAAGTTCCACTTACTTGCAATAAAAACTACACCAAAAGGTTTGGAAATATAGTCAACATAAGGAAAATAAGGGAGCTTATTTATGGTGCCCTGAAGTCCTACTGAATAATAGAAACCTCCACATACGAGTACATTTTAAATTTTGTTTCTTTGCACCCTCGTGCAAACACTGCGTCTGGCTGGGAATTTGTTTGAGAAGGGAGGAAATAAAGAAATCTGTAAAGTTTGAGTCCAAAATGCTTTACCTCAGTAAAATATGAATTTAAAGCCACGCGGGGGGGAACACTTCCTCTTGAGAGGAAATACCAGCTAGAACGCATAATCAAAGCCTTTTATTTGAACTTTTAAAAAGATACCAATATAAAGAAATAGAACATGAACAAAATACATGAATAAAATTTTTTTAAAAAAAAAGTCTTAACAGTGACGTCTGACAAAAGTGGACCCTGCGTCAGAGCGGGAAGCTCTGGAGGTCGCAGGGAAGCCCTGAGGTTCCTCCCACCGGTCGGCTCTAGATCATCGGAGAGTCGCAGAGCGTGCAGGGCGCCTGCAGGATCTTCTTTATCCACTCCGGGTCTGTGGGGAGGCAAAACAAGTTCTGAATGACCTGACGAAACATGTACACAACGACCATTACTCTTACTGTTAGACGAAGCCAGCAGTGTCCGTTGGCCAAAAAATGGGTTTTAATACAGTAAGAGCCGACAATGATTACCACAGGTGGTTTAAAAACCAAATCTAAAAGAAGGCAGGCATCGTTAGAGACAGGAGGTGGGACGATGTTTATACTGACAGATGCCACAACTGCACCGACCTGTCAGTCTGCAGCTCAGATAGGCTGCAATGACCCGAGCAGCCTCAGGTGCTCCAAGACCCACAAACACCTGGGATGCATGTAGCAGCCAGTCCTCAGTGTTTGTCTCTCCCCACTCTAACCTCTGCAGGAACCACATTAAAAAGCCACTCGAGCTGGTTTTTTGGCATTTGGTGTAGTGCATTGATCAGTGTGGAAAACAGGTTCAAAAGATGACCTGTGAGCTGACGCTATGCTATGATTGAAGGGTCAATTACAAACCTGAGTGATACACGAGGATCTTTCCTTTGTGCATCTGCCCAAATGGCGTAACTAAATGAGTGCTGCGTACTTGTTTCAGGATTTCACATGTTCGCTGTTGTCAAATGCAATGAAACTTCTCATGAATTTGTAAAGTTTACATTTGGGACAAGAGTACATTTGTAAAACATTGTAGTCCATTTTAGCTTTTGTCCTGCATTGTTCAGTACAGGTTGCACAAGACGAAACAAATCCCAAAATAAAACTGCGCTTCCTGACCAATGATTTTACTCTCCAGTTGATCATAAATCAGCCACAAAGAAAAGACACAATAATCCAATTCAAACAGTTTCCCTAAAACAAAAACACAGCTAATTTCTACAATCACTCATGTTCGTTCAGGATGAAGTTTTCGACCGACTCCAAATCCGAAATGTCAAGCGATGACTGTGAGCGGCGGAGCGGGATGAAGGCCGACGTTGAAGGTGACAGGAGGCGACGGCTGATTGAGAGTGCAACTGTGAAACGGAGGCGGAGGGAGATGGAAAGTGGCGCTTACCCTCAGGCTCTGGCAGTCTGGCGATGGTATCCAGCAGGAGGCAACGTCTGAACGTCAGCGTCTGGCAGGCCTGGTATGACAACACACACCTGGAGGAGAGCGAGAGGACGGCATTAGAGAGCTGGCTGGCAGGGACAGAGACACACACACACACACACACACACACACACACACACACACACACACAAAAGTAGAGCAGGAACTGCACTGAGGTACAACTAACGGGCACAGATCCCCCTCTCAGTGCCCACCAGAGGTGCCACGTTCCAGCTAGCGAGAAGCCAGGAGACGTGTTTGACAGATGATATTTATGAGACGATGAGAGTGGCGCGTGGGTAAATATCAAAAGGTGGGAGGCTTGATTACTGCTCTGTGAAGATAAATAAACCGCCAAAGAAGGCATTTGGCATTAAGATTAAATTCATGTCCCGCCAGGCACGTCGAGGCTAAAGCTAATAAAAACCATCTTTAGTGGATTGTATTTGAACTTGTGGAAGAGAGCCCTCTCCATCTACCTGAGCCACATGTGACCGTTTTTACAGACGGCTTGTTTGTGGTCCGAGAAGGGCAGCACGGCCTGACACAGGCTGCAGCGCTCCGAGAACGTCTGCTTGTTCATCTTGTTCTTGATGTGGCCAATCAGGACCTGAGAGGGATGACACACACACGGACACACAGCTAGTGTCAATGAAGGCAATGGTAGCAGAGAAGACAGCCTAAATGTGAGTTCAGTGCTTTTCTCATAAGGGCTTAATACTTTTAAGCAATAGCTTCCTAAAGAGAAAAAAAAAAAAAAAAAAAGGTTCAGTGTTTTTATATATGCAAGAACCATTTTGAATATTTCTGTAGTTACGTTGTCATTTTGTTAAAAATAAACAGAAAAACAATTAAAACCATTGAAGCAAACCTATGTAACTTTTGCCGAACAGCAGTCAGTGTGTGAATAATGGGATATTAGTAATTGCTGCAGCACACGGTTTAAGGCTACATTATGTGGACACTCTGGTTTTTCATTGTTTGCTTGAACCCACAGTTCCAATCTAAGATCCCATGAAATGGACACTTGGTCTTCCTGAAAAACCGTGGGGGTGTCATGCTGCACCACTGGGTGCATCTATAAAGTCCAACCGACAAAACAATCAGAAGTGTTTTCAATAATCCCACCTTTCTGCTCAGTCAATCAAAACAAACCGCCCTTCTCCCCCATAACTAACAGCCCATTGGGTGACACAAGGCAGCGACCTACGGGTCTGAAAAGTGAAGCCAATGAGTAAGGGCCTTAAACTTGCATTCTTTCTAGTGGCCAGCAGGGGGCGACTCCTCTGGTTGTATAGAAGTCTGAGAAAATGACTCTACTTCTCTCTTGATTTATGACCTCAGTAAACATTGTAAACATGAGTTTATGGTCTCAATCTCTAGTTTCAAGTCTTCTTCAATACAGCATGATGTTCATTTAGTAAATGATGGTCCCATTCAGACTATAGGGTACGCTTTAGGGCGGGGCTACCTTGTCATTGACAGGTCAATACCACGGAGTTGTGCGGTCTGGGAGTTTAACCCTTTCAGTGTGTTTTCACTTCATGAAAAATAATTGTTACACGTTTGGCTCGCCTATAAATTATTCAGCGTTCAGTTGTACTTAGCTATAACTTTCCTGTCACTTCTGGTTTCAAAAAGCCAAAATGGTGACGGACAAAAAACAAAAAGACGATGGCCAAAATGCACAAGGCTTCAAACAGCAGTCCACAAACCAACGGGTCACAGTGACAACGTCCACTTCTTACAAACAAACAGTCAAAGGGTTACACATTCGACCCTCACCAACCGGCTTCAACAGGAAGTGCAGCACATTAAGGAACTAATGAGACACTTTCCTGGGACCTTTTTGGGAAATGTTAATGCTACAGCAGATGTAGAATCACATACGGTTGTAATATTCCAGCCGTCCACATACTTTTGGCCATTTACACTCTGCTGCTGCAATATGTTGAATTGTATACGATTTGGGATCGTCAGCCTATACCTGACCTAAAGTAACTTTGATCTGGAAAAATAATTTAAAAAAAGATCATTTGGTGGCAAGAAGGTGAGGTGAGTTTTACCTCTGACGCTCTGTCGTTAGTGTCTCTGGAGAGGTACTCCACCAGGCCACAGGTAGGAATGCTGGTGTTCTGAGCAATCCAGGTGTTGAGGTACACCACCCCCAGCACCTTCTTCATGTTCTCCCTCATCATGTGGGTCTCCACAGCATTGATCCAAGCCTGCACCTCCTCCATCTGCTCCTCCTCCCGTTTCACTCCACCGGGCTCTCCTTCCCCCTGCGCAGCGTCGTCTTTGTCCTTCCCGTCTTCCTCCTCCTCCTCATCCCTTACAAACACCTTGTTCTCCTCGTGCGTCGGTTTCCAGCGGTGATCCGTGGGGGGCGTCTGCAGGGACTGGTAAAGTATCCGCACCAGGAAGAGCTTGAAGCGCCACAAGTAGGGTGAGTCGACCTCCTGGATCTTTCGGTCGAGCTCGTCCAGCAGCGACGCGGGGATGCACTTGCTTTTCAAAATCTGCCACCTCACGAGATCGAGCAGGTCGACCGATTTGTACAAGTTCTGCGTGGGGGACTTAAGCAGCAGCGTCGCGGCCGCCTCCGATGTTTTCAGGGTCACAAAGTGAACCTGGTAGGTCCTGTTGACTGGATGATAGCCGTCCACCATACCTTGCGTGCTGGCAAGCGCGATGTACGCTCCGTTGCGGCTCACCGCTATCCCGTGTATCCTCCTCTCAGAGAGGTTTTCGGGCCGCAGCAAGTCCTCTTGTTTGAAAATCAACGTGTTCTCCGTGAACGTTGGAGTCAGCTTTTTTATCCACCCGTCCACGGAACACGTGTACACCGCGACACCGTGCTGACTGATCGCCAGGGAGACCACCGGGAGCGAGTGCAGCCCGGCCACGTGAGAGTTGTGCACATTTAGTCCGGCCGGCGAAATCATGAGCAGGCACCAGAAGACGTAGCAGCCGCGCGAGGCCACGATGAGGCTGCAGCTGGATTTCTGGATCGGGTGGATCATCGGGACACATTTGAGGTTTTCCACGGCGATCTCATCACACTCCTTCCAGAGGATGACCGGGTGGCGGAGGGTGAAGTAGCCCTTCACCCCCGACAGGCTGACCGGCACGATCTTGACGGGCCCCACCTCGCTGCCGACGATCAGGCCGCTCATCCGCCGGTCTGTGCTTTCGTACTCCCACCACGCCAGGTCACTCGGTCTAGTCACGTCCGACTCGACGATGTCATAAAACACGACCTCGGCATCGTCCAAAAAGGGCAACACAAACTTCCACAGAACGAGGTCACCGTTTTCCATTAAGACGGCGAGGAGGACCATCTCCATGTCTTTGCACGTGTTGTTCGGCTGGACCTGTTTGGTCGTGTAAACGCTCGACCACTCCATCCTCAGAGGAGTCTGCATGCGGAAGCGCCGCTGCAGCTCGTCGAAGTCCAGCAGATTTGCCTGCGGGGGCTTGTTGTCCTTTTTGGAGTAGCCTCGCTCCTTTAGCCGGTCGCTGTACGTTTTGGTGAGGTCGACGAGCGTGTTCCACTCCAGACGCTTGTGGCTGTTGTGGATGGTGAGTCTGTGGTCGAGTGTTAGGCAAGCGAGCAGACAGCGCCCGCTCGAGTCACAACCTAACGGAGACCAACTGGCATATTTTATTCCCTTGTGCGCTCCTATCGACGGGTTCATCACTTTGTCGGCCAGAAAAACTTGTCGTACTGTGGGGTCCTGGTGCGCCGAGAACTTCTCCACTGCTTGAGCTAGCTCCGCCGCAGGTCCCACCTTCAAAATGGTAAAAATCACAAATGAAAGCAATATGGAAGGTTAAAGGTCGGGTACATATGAATCAACATTTGCAGCTGTATTGTAAAAGGTCCGCACACTTTAGTACCCTTAAGTGCATTCAATGGAACATCCACATGTAACTTGTTCAGCATCATCAGACCGAGCGGGGCCTCTTTGGGCTCCATCATCTGCCGCTCCCTGCTCAGTGGCCCCCCCCATTTACAAGCACTTAATCATATCTATAAATGACAGCAGGAAAGCAACTCTGCCTGTCTGCCACGGTGCCGAGCGGATTATAAAATTCAGCTCCAGCCAGCGTTTTATCTGCCAAGTGGATTTTTGGAGTGGAGACGAACCTATAAACAATCATGTTTACACGCCAGAGCAGCTGCGCCGAGACACATTCACCACAGCAAGACTGTTTTTTCTGCTCCATCAACATTTGTGTTCCGTCGCTTTAATCGTCTTTTCAGTTCAGTTTAGTAAATAACGAATATACAAAAAAAAAAAAAATTCTGCTGCCGCCAAACTAATAGCACACAAGAGAATAGCAGCTTGGCTGCGTTTCTGAGGCGTGTTTACACAGGTTGCTTAACAAGGAGACAAATAGTGGCAACACTGCTCCAATAGACTCACAGATGTCATTTTGTAATCACCTAGTCTTTAGACACACGTGTGTTACTTATTAGCAGTGGTATTACCTTACATTTATGGGCACTTTTGTTGCAAAATACAAGCATGTTGTTCAAAAACTTTGTTAAAAAACGAAGTCGATCGTCTCTCTGGCTGAAACAGTTGGCAATCCACACAGAACACATCTGCATGCAGTCAAACGTGACGGACATTACAGCTGACAAATGAAACAGAAGTGCACGTAGACAGGACAGCGCTTTACTCCAGTTTTTACGTTTCTCACCACTTAACATTTGGTGCAAATACTATGAAAAATTGAATCTTCAGATAAATATTTTAGCCTGAGGAAGTGCCAACCGTTTGAAAATGTTGTTTGTGCGTCCCGGGACTGAGCTTCACGTATCCATAATGGCTGAAGATTAAAGTCATGTGGACGCTCCAGTGCACATACAAGAAGATGCATATTATTGTTTTTGTCTGAAAACACCTCTGTATGGTTTTCATTTCATCTCCAGACAAAAACAGACTGATTTCACTAATAGTTTTTCATTTGTCATTATGTGAATATGGTTTCCAAACTGGTGGAGGCATTCATTGTATCATCTGACTAAGTTTAACACAATGAATGGTTACTGCAGATACCTGAGGATTACTTGTAATCATTGACTTACTTCCTGACAGACAGCTGCGGGTTGTTTAAGGATTGCTAGAGAGGCTGAGGACAGTTCATTTAGATGAGTGGAGGATACAGTGTGGCATTTAAAGAATTGGTGGCGCTCCCCTTTAACAGAGTCACTCCCTGCCCGAGAGTAAAGGAGCGCCATGCTAACAAGCTCAGCAGTCTACGGTTGTTGTTGTTTCCTGACACTACATTTTATAACTATCAGAGACTTAATGAACGCGGTAGTCGACCACGTGGCGACACAGAGCTTCGATAGCACAACCAGCTCCAGGTTGAGCCCTCAGTCTCAATGTTTACTTGCTAAAGTTCTCCCGAGAGTCGCACTTGCTAAGCTAACGCCACAGAGCTACCTGGCTCCATCCCGTTTCCTTTCCGAAGGAGGAACCAGGTGGACGTTGGTGGATATTTACCCGCAGTTTCATCGCCTCGGTCGGGACGGGGATCGAGGTCCGGTGCAGCGTCAGCTCCTGCTTGCTGCTGTGGACGTCGCACACCAGCTCCATCAGCGACACGGAGCTGGTGGTGCACACAGCCAGGCGGTGGTCATGAGACCAGGCGAGCGGCTGCAGCCCGCTGACCGGGGCCATGAGCGGGACGACGGGGTCCCGCTTAACCGGCACCTCCTCCGGGCAAATGTGCAGATCATCATCGGCCTCTGGCTCGGTCTTAACGACTAAATCTCTGGGCTGTGCTGGTGCCGAAGCTGACGGACTGGCAGCCGCCATGTTTTCCCCCGTTGCGGTGGAAGTGACGTTGGCGAGCGCGGGAGGAGATGAAGGAGGGACTTCCTCCGCGGAGTTAAATAGTTCACTGTGTTCACTGTGTGCGTCAACAGCAATACAGTTGACTACTTCATGAAACTGACAGATGTTTCAGTCACATAGTCACACAGAACCGCTGCAAAGACACTAACCAATAACAAAGTTGAAGACTTGACAAATCCTATAAGATTGTCCCCATCTCTTACTTATCTAATATTGTATTGGTATAATAATAATTCCAGTTTCTAACCCATCCCAAGATAAATCTGCTTTAAGGATTAAAGGGATATACAGTATATTCACTTAAATATTGGATACATTCACCTACTCTGACCTTTGAATCTTCTTCAGATTAAATAATATGAGAACATCATTTGTTAATCTGCTCACAGCAGGTCTACACTCTCACGCCGTAACCTGTGATGAAGGGACATTCCTTAATTTTAGGGATTCACAAGCCAACAGGGCAACCACTGATTTATTCCATATTGTGGTTTTACATACCTTATTAAATTAAAATCATAATGAATTCCCATCACTTGAAAAAAACCTGGGTGATCATCAGTGAACATATTACAGTGATCAACTGTTTTCTGTACCCCTCATCTTTTTTCAACTGGTTTAAATGCCTTCCTGTTAAGCTGATGCATGGGTCTATATCCAGATAACAGACATTAATAGGCTCTGCCTTTATATTGAGCAACAAACAAGAAACACGCTGAGAGCAGAAGTTCAGCTCATTTCCATGTGAGAAGCAGAGGAACGTGTGTTGGACGACTTCTGTTTCAAACATAAAGAGAGAGTTGTAGGTGTGATAATGTGAACATATGAAAGAGGTGTATCATTTATATCATACTAGGGGATTGTGTTTTGCCCTTTAACCCTCCGTAGCTATAGAAACTATAGCACTGGATCAAACGCAGTAAATACCATCCCTGATCCACTTCACCTGAGTGCCAATCAATCTATTACCCACCGACAGACTGTCAGCATGCATCTGAAGTATTCACAATCAATAACCTTCCTCGGATATGTTAATGAGTGTTGTAATTACCCACACGCACCGTGGATATAAGCAATTTATATATTTTACATTTTGCATACTGTTTTTTAAGTGTCTTTGTCTCTTTTTATATTTCAATTGCATCACGATTTTGTGGGCCACAAACCGAAGTTACAACTAAGATGTGATAAAAAAAACAATTAAGTTTAACTGAATTAAGCTGAATGAATATATAAACAGTAGGTATCTGTTTGTTGGTAAATCCCACATTTATATACATGTATGTGTGCCATCAAACCTTTAATGGGTATGCATCCTGCAATATTTGCATTGCAATATTTGTCTCCATAGATTCTACCACATTCCCTTTGAGATAAAAAACAAACAGTTAAAATGAATTTCTAATGCAAACTGAACACGTCTTTGAGTTTGCTTTAGGTAGAATAATGGTTGTGTTTTGAGTCTCAGAAGGAATCAGCACTCGCAGCCTTGGGCAGTGTGTCAGGACTTGCACATCCTCGTTTTAATTAGAGCAGATTAGATGAAACTTTAATGTGTTCCACGGGGACATTTTGCATTCAATGTGACACAATCACTCAGCCAGATTGGGTCCGTGTTGAAACAGCGCTGGCGCTCCACAATGACACATTCACCACTCCGAGAGAAAAGAGGAATGAGCCTAATCCTTGACAGGCGCCACATCAGTCATTTCATCTGTCCGAGCGCAGCCGCTCGTCAACGAGACATTTCATCGTCAATTATGAAGAAATATGAAAACTGTCCCGTCCGCGCTTGATGGCTCAGATACATATCAGCATGCTTAATGCGACGAGTCCCCGGACGCTCCTGGACCGGTCAAAGGTGGAGGTGCTGCAGTGGGACGCAGAGCCGGAGATTCCCAGGCAGACAGTGATTTGTTACAGCCCGCACATGAAAAAAGCTCCACGCTCACTAGCTGCCTGACTTCTCAGCAAGATGACAGCGGGATTTCAACAGGCAGAGTTATTTGTCACAAAACAAATTGTTACAAATCTGTGTGACAAACACAGAATAGCGCGCCCACCGTGTTTTAATCTCTCATTTTTCTGTCTTTTGTTTCGATAATCGAAATGAATAAATGAACCGTGGTACGTTTCATTCTTAATGAAGCGTGTAGCGAATGAATATTTCACACACCTGCTGTGTGTCTTTGGTGGGTTTTGACTGGGGACCCGATCCCAGCCCGGGAACGCATGAATGTTGGATGAAACATTCATCAAACGCTGTCACAAAAACTTTATCCTCTCCTGTCAAACCACACATGAAGAAACGGGAGCAGGCCCCGGCGCAGGCCAAAGTAATCCCAGCCATAATTTGATCCCCGGCCTTTGGTTTACTTATTGTGTGTTCGTGGAATTATTCAGGCTGCGCTGGAGTCGTGTCTGAAGGCATACAGGTTATGTAGTGAGGGTTTATGGATATGGATGGGGTCAGCTCAGGTCAATCCCCTGCATCTCTGATATCCACCTGCTGTCTTGTTATCGCCTGCAGGTTCCTCCTCAGCCCTCCAACCCTCGATAGACCACATCCTCCCGCTGTCTGGCTGCTCCGAGTGTCACCGGAGCCGCTTACATGTATCTGGCGAGGGAGCCCGCAGGGACGTTTTGATGCACGGTTCATCATACATGTTTTAATCATTCAGTCCCTCAGACACCTCCCAGGAGGGGGGCCGCTGCAGCACATTACCGTGTACACACAATTAGTGATATAATCATGATGATGATAATGAAATGTATTTAGAGCATATCAGCGTGGTTCATTCTGTTCGGGGAGACATTAGCAGGACTGCAGCCCTGGAAAAGCGTCGGCGCTCGGGCTTCTGGCGCCCCCCCTCCCTACCTTACTACCTCCCCCCTGGAGACCGGCAGATCCCGGCAGGTTGCCACGTCAGAGATTAGCAGTCATAGCAGTCGACTTGGCGCTCCTTCTGGGCCGTCAACTGCGAGGGCCTCACCTGACAGGTGTTGCTCTCAATCAGTGCTCCTCTGCCCCCCCCCCCCCCCCCCACACCAAGCTGTCCTTGGAGTGGGATGGGACAAGGAGGCCTCCCCTCCCCCCTCTGTACATCCTGACAGTCTCTTCAGGCGATGCTCTGAGATGAACACCAGAAAAGAAAGAGTAAACCCCCCCCCCACTCAATGAGAAACTATTGATATCACATCAGTGACATCAGCGGGAAACACAGTGCTGCTCTTTTTCTGTTTGTTTTTTTTAGTTCCCCTCAGGGATGTTCAGTCACCTGTTAAAGGTCAAGGTGATAGCATGTCAGGATCAGAGGGAGGGCTTCAGTACAGGAATAATGGTGCATGCTGGGAACTGTTCTAACAGATTGTAAGCCAAAAATAAACCCATGATCACAGGTTAGAAATAACACCAGAGGGCCAAGGGGTATTTGTTTCTGAATATACATATATTCTATTAAAATATTGCGAAGGAAACCTCTGACATCTACCTCAATGCCTACAGTAGTGAGGGAGAATAAGCAGAACTTGATAGAGGCAAATAGCCACTTCACATTATCTCTGGTTACTCACGAGCTTCTTGTTTGGTATTGAGTCCTTTAAAGGAATATTGATGATAAAATCATATAAACACAAAGCGTGGGCGGCTGCAACGCTTGCAAACGTTTTCAGTTCTTTATAATATTTGTGCCAAAACAGCCCAGACACATTTAGCTGGCCCGTGTCACATGACTGTGGAAATCTATGTGACATCCTAGTGTGAAGCTGCACACTTTTGCACACTTAGCATCAAATGTGAGTGAAAGGAAACCTAGTGTGGTGTGGATACTTTTCACTGGAAAAAATACAGCAAGATGCTCTATTTGGGACAAGAAAGTGCCACACAGCAGCAACACGAGTAACCTTTTTAATAATTATTTAGTCATAGCATTTCTGTAAAATACTGGACTCATTTTTACACTTATTAGCACAACCATTTGACTTAAAAATACACATTTATTTTGCAATAAATGTTATATTAATGGCCGTATGTGTCATGTGAATTACCTTTAATTGTAATGATCTTTTCTTTTTTCCCTCTAAAAATTACCATTATTTTGAGAAATCACATACCTATTTAAGAAATTATCAGTATCGGTATTGTTGTATCATTGTCTTCCAAATTGGAACAATAAGTATCTATATCATATATCGAATATAAAAAGTGTGATATCGCCCATCCCGAATGTTCAACTGTCCCCTTGCTGCTGCTGCTGCTGTATAAATCCAACGCACCCTTGCAATAAAGCGGACTATTCAAACGTCATGCCCCGCCCACTCTTTTGGTGCACTCTGCTCATTTAGATCTAACGTTGTATACCACACTATCAAACTCAAGGCCCGCGGGCCGAATCCGGCCCGCCACGTCATTTTATGTGGCCCGCGAATTGGCCAGCAAAAAAAAAAATTTAAAAAAAAATTAATTTTCGCAAAACAAATTAAAAGTTAGACTTGACAATAAAAGTATCCCCATGGTCGAAATTATGAGATAGAAAGTTGAAATTCTGAGATAGCATGTTGTCTGTGTACCGACATTAAAAATATCACAACAGGTGGACAGGAGAGGGCACAGCCCGTAAAGCGGTTTTCCAAACAAGTGATTGAGTTGAAAAAGATCGACAAATAATCCCAAAATGTCCACGAAGAGAAAAATTGATGCAGAGGGAAGAAAATGTAATTTAAGATGGGAAAGCGAATACATGTTTGTGCTTCAAGGAGAAAAACGGGTCTGTCTTCTGTGCTATGATGCGTGTCGGTGATGAAGGATACAATTCACGTCGGCATTTTGACACCAAACACGGAGCTAAATTTAGCCTCCAAGAAAAACATCAAATTGTCCAAGAATTAAAAGGCGGACTGCAATCACAGCAGAATATATTTACAAAAGCTACAGCCCAGTGCATGCTAAAGGTATGTGAGCAGGTGAGCTCCGATCAGATACAGACTTTTAC